CTGCCAGGGACGACCGCTCAGGTTCGATCCTACAGCGCTGAGCCGCCATCTCCACCTCCTCCACCCACTAAACCCTCGCTTGATCAGAAGGGTGCTGCTGAGGCGGTGAAAGAACGCACCCTGTCTGCCCTGCAGGTACTAAAGACACTCCACTGGACACCGTCCTGGTTACAGCCTGCATCCAGCATAGATCATCAGAGCAACTTTTAGCTTCGAAAAGCAACCTTGTTTTTTTTCTTTTGTCAGCATGCAGGAGAGCTGGGCCGGCAGTGGAGTCAGAGGTCGGCGCAGACCGCCACCACCACTATGAACTACTGGTGGGGGAGATACGAGGAGTTCGTCGGGCTCAATGAGGTCCGCGAGGCTCAAACCAAAGTCACCGAGGTCAGGAGAGCGAGAACAGTCGTCCTCCAACAGTTTGACTCCAGCAGAAATCTCGTTTTATTAGAAGTTTTAACGTCTGCATGACAGATGTGTGTTCTTTCAGGCGGAATCCGCGTTCATGGTGGCCAGAGGGATTGTCCGTGAGGCGCACACCAGCCTGGAGGCCCTGCAGGGCCGGCTGAAGGAGGTCAGGGACCGGCTGGACAGAGTCTCCAGGGAGGAGGCTCACTACCTGGAGCTGGCCACCATGGAGCACAAGCTGCTGCAGGTCAGAGCAGAAGAAGCGCGGCTGGAACCTCACCTTCCCACTTTATTGAAAACGCTTCCTGGATGGGAAGCGTAACGTCTTCAAACTTGGAAACAAAGTCCAGTGGTTTATTTGTTACCTTTTTTGGAATGACTTCGACCTGAATGATTGAGAATCATGACCAGCATGTACCAAGATTGTAAAAAAAATTAATATTTTGCATTTAAGATAAAAAAACAACTTTTTCTTATGTAAATCTGCTCCATCCAGAACACCTCAAGTGAAAAACCGGTTTGATTTGATAAAAAGTTTTCTTTAAGAAACGTTTTGCCGTCAGATTATTAATCGAAAAAATTATCAAGAGATTAATCGATTACTAAAATACAGACATTATTTAGTACTTTATATGTATTTATTTCAGTAGTTTTGGCCGTATGAGTTTAAATCAAATCAGAAGAAATGAAAGCCTATGGATAAAAAGCTGCACTAACTGCTGGCCTTTTCTCCTCCCGACTGCAGGAGGAACGCCGTCTCCGGACTGCCTACGAGAGCGCAGAGAGTTTGGAGAGGGAAAAGTTTGCCTTGTTTTCGGCGGCGGTTCGAGAGAGCCACGAGAAGGAGAGGACGAGAGCGGAGCGCACCAAGAACTGGTCCATCATCGGCTCTGTGCTCGGAGCACTGATCGGGGTCATGGGGTCAACGTACATCAACCGGGTCCGCCTGCAGGTAAACGCAGACGGAGGAGAGTCTGTTCACAACTGGAGCGCAGCTACAAGGCTACATGTTAAAAGAAGGAGAGGAGGTAGATGAGGGAGCGGCTGGCAGCTTCAAGGACGCTAAACTCCAGCTGTGGTGGAGGTAGAGAGAGGTGGGACTTGTCGTGCGCTGCAGCTCCACCTAGTGGTAAAATGTCGCTTACTTTAAAGCAACAGCGTTTAATAAATTAGGCTTTAATGTAAGGAAGAGGATTAGGGCCACTGGGAAAAAAAAAAAGTTAACTGATTTTTTAATTTTATTTCAGTTTAATATGGTAAAAAAGTCAGAATTCTGACTTTTTTCTCAGAATTCTGACTGTTTACATTTGATCACTGCTGAACTTAAGGTCGTAGGGAAATTATTATTAAATGTCAAATCATTCTGGCTTCAACATCTATATAAATGTACTCTTTATCAGATGAAAATTTAGAAAATTTATATTTAAAAAAAACCCGTCTTAAAATCTGTTTCTTTTTTTTCTTTTCATTATCCTGTGCACAAAGACACCATATTAAAATAAACAAAATACATTTTTATAAGTGTATTTTGTATATTTTTATGTATATAATTATATACACTACCGTTCAAAAGTCCTCCTGTTTGTGCTGTCCTCCCTTCAGAGGACAGCACAAACAGGCTCTAACCAGAGTAGAAAAAGAAGTGGGAGGCCGCGTTGCACAACCGAGCAAGAAGATAAGTACATTAGAGTCTCTAGTTTTGAGCCTCACAGGTCCCCAACTGGCATCTTCATTAAATAGTACCCACAGCAGCCTGTTTGTGCTGTCCTCTGAAGGGAGTAGTACACACCATTGTATGAAATCTTCCATTTCTTAGCAATTTCTCTCATGGAATAGCCTTCATTTCTAAGAACAAGAATAGACTGTGGAGTTTCAGATGAAAGTTCTCTTTTTCTGGCCATTTTGAGCGTTTAATTGACCTCACAAATGTGATGCTCCAGAAACCCAATCTGCTCAAAGGAAGGTCAGTTTTGTAGCTTCTGTAACGAGCTAAACTGTTTTCAGATGTGTGAACATGATTGCACAAGGGTTTTCTAATAATCAATTAGCCTTCTGAGCCAATGAGCTAACACATTGTACCATTAGAACACTGGAGTGATAGTTGCTGGAAATGGGCCTCTATACACCTATGGAGATATTGCACCAAAAACCAGACATTTGCAGCTAGAATAGTCATTTACCACATTAGCTATGTATAGAGTGTATTTCTTTAAAGTTAAGACTAGTTTAAAGTTATCTTCATTGAAAAGTACAGAGCTTTGCCTTCAAAAATAAGGACATTTCAATGTGACCCCAAACTTTTGAACGGTAGTGTGTATATATATATATATATATATATATATATATATATATATATAAAATTAATTCTGGTCTATAGATGATGATTGTCTGCTGGGGATTAGATCCTAACCTCTGGTTGGATGGCCTCTTGCCATCGCTCTGATCTTTAGCAGCCTCCACTGATTCCCTGTCAGAGTTAAGGTGGCATTTTCATTCAAAATATAATAAAAACCATAAATTAGGGCTCCATTGATGGAAACCAAGCCTCCTAAATATGCAGACACATTCAGACGTTTGAACGAATATCTTCAGTATCTATTTGAGCCTAAATGAATAATATTGACCCAGTCATTTAGTGGATTCTATCCTTTTGTCTGCAGGAGTTGAAGAATCTTCTTCTGGAGGCTCAGAAAGGTCCAGAAAGCCTCCAGGAGGCCCTTAAAGTCCAGGCTGGGAACCATCGCTCCCAGCAGGACGAGCTGCGGCTGCTCATCGACAGCCTCCGGGTCACTCTGGCTGACGCCTTAACACAGAGGAAGGGCGCCCCCCAGAGGACAGAAGAGCCAACTTCAGCTCCACCTTCTCTTTCTGCCTTACAGGACCTTCGGGTCCACAACCAGAAGATGGAGTCTGTGCTGGAGACCCTGCCGGCCCAGCTGGGGCGGCTCCAGCAGGGCGTCGGTAAAGTCGAGGGCGAAATGCTGACGGTGAGGAAGCTGCTGGAGACGGAACCACAGACCGCAGCGCTGACCCGAACACCAGCCGGCAGCCCGCAGAGAGCAGAACCAGAGGAGCGGCGGGGGTCTGAGGCGGTGCTGGCAGGGCTGGAGGACACCAAGAGGACGCTGGGAGAAAGAATCCAGATAAACACGGCTTATAACGCCGTGTTCGCCTACACCGCCGCCGCCGTTACCGTCTCTGCTGTGTACCTGCTGCTCAGAGGAACGGGTTGAACTGGACCAGAACAAAACACGGTGGATTAAGTCTAAATGCAGAATAATCTCTCACTCCCTGCTGACAAACACTAAAAAGCAGTTACCCTGGACACGCCTCACTTTTAATCCCTTAATTATTTTGGTTTTCTCTGAAAGTTTTAGGAAACCAACTGTATGGGATCGGTTTGTTCCCAGTTAATCGAAGGAAATGTTTGACTCAGATTTTAAATCATCAGGATTTGCAGTCAAATGAATAATCTCTTCAATAAATCCTCTACAGGGACCCAGTGGTGTTTATGCTCACTTTAAAACTTGTATTTGTTCATTACTGTCTGCAGTAGAACCTCTCAGATCCTGGAGTACTTGAACATATTTCTGTGTGCGCTGGTAACGCCTCTTTATTAAAAGGTCGACTGGGAAACTTTATGTCTCCTTTCTTTCAACACTACACTAGTAGCCATTCAAAATTGCACTTCCAGAATTCACCACTGTTTGGCGCCATTTTCCTTTTGTCTCTGATCACGGAGCAGACCTGTCCTACAAAACGGGGAAAAGAAGGATGCATGACGAGGAGACTTCCAATCCCAACGGACTTCGGCGCCGCGCTAGGACGTAATCAGCCGATGAATGTGGCCTTCATAGGACGCAACCGCTGGATTCAAACTCAGCACGAATGTGTTGGAAAAAAAAAAAAAAAAAATACTTTTCCTGGCAACATTTTTGTAATATGCCTCAAATTAAGCGAATACTTTGGAAAAAAAAAATGTAATGTTGATTTATTTAACATTCTTTTGTAAAACAAAGGTAATAATTAAAAATTAAATAGGAATAAAAGAAGAACATGAAAAGTTTTTTTTTGTTTTTTTTACATTTTTATTTAATTTAGGTATTTAGGAGCAATGCTGTTTTAGGAATCTCTGCAGAAACAGAGCAGTTTTATCTAAACAGATTAAATTCCACACAGATGGTAGCTTTAGCTCTGGATTAACTTTAGGTTCATCAAGGTAAATGCATGCCACACTATTCAGATTTGTATTTGTAGCTCATGCACCCCTGCAGAACTGCACTGCAAAAAATATCTAGAAATAAGTACAAATTTACTAAATCAATAGTATTTACTCTCAACTTTATTAGGTTAATGGGACGATTCGCCAACAGAGTATTTTTACTCTTAAAATAAAATAATTAGATTATATGCACTTGTAATAAGACCATGCTGTTACTTTTATTTTAAATGGAAATCATGTTCTATTGGCAAAGTGTCTCACTTACCTCCTCATTTCAAGACAAAATGCACGTATTTTAAGAAAAAATACTTATTTAGATTTTAAGTTTTTGCAGCACTTTGTGTTAGTAGGCTTTACCAAAGATCAAAAACACTCTTTTTCATTAATAGCTGCTTCTCTGTTTGGGCAGCAGGTCGTATTCCCTGTAGAGGATGAAGTCCTTCAGTCGCTCCGGCAGAGGCAAAAAGCTCATGAAGGTGGGCGATCGGAGGCGGAGACGGCCCAGGCATCGACGGATCCTCAGGCGACAGAGATGCTGCAGGCACCGCGTGTTTTCTGGGGACGGAGAAAAGGGATCAGATCCGTGATTTCTTTCTCCTTTCTCAGCTCACTGCTAAAGTTCGGTCACCTTGTAGTCTGCAGATATCAGACCACTGCTTCTGCTCCATCAGAACCACCTTCAGTTTGGAGCAAAAGGTCACGTGGTCGACGTAATCCATCAGCACACGAACCACGCTGCCGGACAGGTGTTTCAGCCAGTTGACGGTGATGACCTCACAGAACTGCACTGACAGAGAAACATTACTCTTAATGTGAAAATCATCATCATGTGAATCTGTGCATCAAAACAGGTGGTTGTGTGCAGGTAAAACATCGTCTTTCTGTAAAATAAACTGTGGAAAATAAGCATAAAAAAGGTAAAAATGGACGATTCTTTCTAAAACTCTGTTTCCATGTGTGGTTAATACAACTATTCCTTATTTTTGCACATTAATTCTGTTTTTGATAAAATCCTTTGGCTAAAATGCCATCAGAACGCTGATAACATTAAGTGTGTCTCAGCCCCCCCCTTCAGTGTCCACCATATTGGATCAGTCCATTTGCTGCACATGTTCAGAAAGGTCCAAACAGACAGCAGCAAACCATTTGAAAACAAACCATGCAAAGAGCAGTGTTGCCAACTTAGCGCTTTAGTCGCTATACAGGTGCTGGTCATAAAATTAGAATATCATGAAAAAGTAGATTGATTTCAGTAATTCCATTTAAAAAGTGAAACTTGTATATTATATTCATACATTACATACAAACTCATATATTTCAGATGTTTATTTTGTTTAATTTTGATGATTACAAATGACAACAAATGAAAATCTCAAATTCATCATATCAGAAAATTAGAATATTGTGAAAAGGTTCAAAATTGATGGCCCCTGGTGCCACACTCTAATCAGCTAATTAACTCAAACCACCTGCAAAAGCCTTTAAATGGTCTTTCAGTCTAGTTCTATAGGCTACACAATCATGGGGAAGACTGCTGACTTGACAGTTGTCCAAAAGACGACCATCGACACCTTGCACAAGGAGGGCAAGACACAAAAGGTCATCGCTAAAGAGGCTGGCTGTTCACAGAGCTCAGTGTCCAAGCACATTAATAGAGAGGCGAAGGGAAGGAAAAGATGTGGTCGAAAAAAGTGTACAAGCAAGAGAGATAACCGCACCCTGGAGAGGATTGTGAAACAAAACCCCTTCAAAAATGTGGGGGAGATTCACAAAGAGTGGACTGCAGCTGGAGTGAGTGCTTCAAGAACCACCACACACAGACGTATGAAAGACATGGGTTTCTGCTGTCGCATTCCTTGTGTCAAGCCACTCTTGAACCACAGACAGCGTCAGAAGCGTCTTGCCTGGGCTAAAGAGAAACAGGACTGGACTGCTGGTGAGTGGTCCAAAGTCATGTTCTCTGATGAAAGTAAATTTTGCATTTCCTTTGGAAATCAAGGTCCCAGAGTCTGGAGGAAAAGAAGAGAGGCACTTCATCCACGTTGCTTGAAGTCCAGTGTAAAGTTTCCACAGTCAGTGATGGTTTGGGGTGCCATGTCATCTGCTGGTGTTGGTCCATTGTGTTTTCTGAGGTCCAGGGTCAACGCAGCCACATACCAGGAAGTTTTAGAGCACTTCATGCTTCCTGCAGCTGACCAACTTTTTGGAGATGCAGATTTCATTTTCCAACAGGACTTGGCACCTGCACACAGTGCCAAAGCTACCAGTACCTGGTTGAAGGACCATGGTATCCCTGTTCTTAATTGGCCAGCAAACTCTCCTGACCTTAACCCCATAGAAAATCTATGGGGTATTGTGAAGAAGAAGATGCAATACACCAGACCCAACAATTCAGAAGAGCTAAAAGCCACTATTAGAGCAACCTGGGCTATCATAACACCTGAGCAGTGCCACAGACTGATCGACTCCATGCCACGCCGCATTGCTGCAGTAATACAGGCCAAAGGAGGCCCAACTAAATACTGAGTGCTGTACATGCTCATACTTTTCATGTTCATACTTTTCAGTTGGCCAACATTTCTATAAATCCTTTGTTTTTATTGGTCTTCAGTAATATTCTAATTTTCTGATATGATGAATTTGAGATTTTCATTTGTTGTCATTTGTAATCATCAAAATTAAACAAAATAAACATCTGAAATATATGAGTTTGTATGTAATGTATGAATATAATATACAAGTTTCACTTTTTAAATGGAATTACTGAAATCAATCTACTTTTTCATGATATTCTAATTTTATGACCAGCACCTGTATTTAGCCTCTTTTCAGACCCCTCTAGCACTTTGATTCCTAAAAAAACTCCTAGCGCCAAATCTAGAGACTTTTTTCTGCTACTGGAGACTTTGGAGACAACATCTAAAAGCAGCGAACTCTGCTCTCCAGAGCAAGTAGATTGGTAACCCCGCCTCCTGCTCTCCTCTATCTTGTCTGCTGTCATGATTCATGCAGCTATTATTTCATCCAAATGAAAAATGGAGAACAGATAAGCAGATCATGGCTTGTCTACAGTGAAAAGAAGGACTGGGTTATTTACTTTGGCCTTTTTGGAAACACAGGAAGGAGCAATCAGCTAAGTGAGCTTAGTGCTTGGAAAAAATCTTTCATTCCTTTAGAGATAGCATGAAAAGTCAGCTGAGTACAAAACATAGAGAGGAAAACAAGAAGAAAAGGGACAAGAAGAGAGGGACACAACCTAGAACAGATAATGGATGTCTATTCTATTAACATTTCTCTATCTGGAGAATGGGGCTGTTCTATGTGATGTCTTCTCAGTTCAGAGGGCCCCCTGCCTGTCTTTGCCTAGGGCCCTAGATTTCCTAAATCTGCCCCTGCCTAGATCACAGTGTTGCTTTAAGGATTAAAATCAGGAAATCCATTAATGGTAAGTCATCAAAGCTCATCCCTGATGATTCCAGCCTGTGATAAACTGAAATTTATATCAATTTTTTGTTACCAAAGTGTCTTTGATCACAGAACAGGTCCATCCTTCGTAGTCCTTAGGAATGTGGGTGCTGTTGCCGTAGGTACAATCGAAGCAGCGTTCTACGTCGTAACCATAGTGACACAGCATCCTGAGAATAACCTGACGGACATAAAAAAAAAAAAAAAAAACGCAGTTTGTGAAAGAAAACCACATTCAGTTGGTATCATTTTTCTCCAGCTACCTCGTCTTTGAAAGCGGATTGCAGCGCCGAGGGGAAATGCGTGGCGTTGATTCGGCTGTAGTAGTTCACATTGGCTCCGTACCGCAGCAACAAGTTGATCAGATCGTAGTTGCCTAGTCGCAGTGCAACCTTTAAAAAAAAACAATAATAACTCTACAAATTCCACAAAGAGCTGTGAAGGTCTCCACATACAAAAACAGTGAAACATAAAAACAGTAAAATGTTGAATAAACTCTCCCTCATGATTAAATGGGCCAGGGCCGCATTCTTATTCTCTGAAACAATACAAACAACTTTCACCTCACACATGCAGAAAAAACAATTACAAGTCAGGAAAATCATAGCCAGAATGAACAGGAAAGATTACAAATAGCTTTTGCCAATATCCATATTTCAGCTGTGTCGTGTAAATCAATTACACACTCGTCATCCTCACGCTTTTTTCTCATGTTGAGCTAAAAATTAATCTCTAGCGATCAGAAAAAGTGTGGAAATTATTGTCACTGAGTCGTGTTAACCTAACAAATGACACAGGACATGAAATCCTCCATCACTAAAACAAACCCTTTAAAGAAAAAGTTCGCTCATATTCAGAATTCAAACTTCTGAAAGTTCTTTAAATCTGAAATGATTCCATCCTGTTCAATAAATCATCAGTGTTTTTAATTCAGAGTAATTTTCATGTGAATGTGCTTTACTGGAGGCATCCATGTTTGTCAAAGAACACTACTGCCACCTACTGGTTTGTTACGTCACGGTGCGGTGCAGTGATCGCGATGAAAATTATTTGTATTTTTTTTACAGATTAACGCTAAATCCATGAAATCACGGCGAATGTATTAGTTTTAGGTATAAATAATGATCCATTGATTATTCCTTGCTGAGCGGACTTTTCCTTTAAGTAACTTCAGGGGGCGCCAATCTGTTGCACTGTTTTTATTTTGGGGTGGAGGGGCTTAAACTATGAGTTCACCTCATGATAATTATAACCTTCATAGAGCTGCTTTCCATTTCCAACCTCAGACATAACTAAATGATATCCACATCTGACATAATAAAAATTTTTCTTAGTTAGATCCCAACATTTTAATACCCGGATTCAGTTTCTTGGGTCTGTTAATTCTGCATCAGACACCTCCACAGCGTTACCTGCAGACATTTAACAGGGTCTTGGTTGGGCATGGCGCCTGCCTCCAGCAGCAGCTTCGCCGACGCCATGTCATTATTGGAAACAGCGAAGAAGAGAGCCGACTTCCTCTCGTCATCATAATTCCTGCGGATCCAAGGGTGGAGCATGAAGTTGGGGTCATAACCATCATCCAGCAAGGCCTGATGGGAGGTTTGAGGAGACATGTTTTAGCTTCCCAGATCTCCTAATGAGCAGGTCAGTACATGATAACTTCTGCTCAATCTCAGAAGGACGGTTTATTTACTGTACAAACTTTTTCCAGTTCATCTTAGATGAGATACATTATTTGAAAGCCAACACATTCTAGTTTCTGAAAATATAAATGAAAATGGTGTGAGTAGAACACAGGCTAAGCTGCATCAGTTCAAACATGACTCAATGTTGTTTATTTTTATTATCAAAAATAATAGATCTTTTTTGAACAGTAGTAAGAAAGACCTGCTTGAGAAAAGGCAGGTCTCATTGTTATGTCAACCACAAATGCAGAACATTTCAGACCTGAATTTCTGGTGTCAAATGCTTTTACTCAACTATTTGACCCATAGAATAACACTGAAGCATTTTGATGTCCACAAAACATTTATGAAGCAATTATTTTCCACTTTATCTCCGAATCAGTGTGTATAACAAAATATAACATTTATAAACTTACAGTAACATAAAAATCTATGAAAAATAGTGAAACTGCAAAGCTAAAATAAGCCCCAGTGGCTTTTCTGACTTGTATTTTTTTTCAGCCTTAAGGGCAGATTATTCTTTCATTGACTATAAAGCTAATCAGCCCACATGGTCTGAACCAATCACAGCAGGACTCTATGAGGCGTAATATCGCTCTACTCATTGGCTGACAGGCAGGGAGCGCTTGTTAGACTTCATGGGCTGTCCCTGACTCAAATCGCGTCATACAAAGACACTTTTGTCTTGTTGGTAAGATGACGATATAAAAAAACACACCAAACAACTGAGGAAATAAGTATTAGGAAGTAAATATGAACAAGAGTCTAAGCATTAGCTATGACCAGCTAACTTTTCTGATGTCAACAACCGGATGTTATATGGCGATTTTTTGCATCATGGAATATTTTTATTACGAATATTCTGGATTACCTTTAATCTGTGGACCCTTAAGGACGAATGAAGTATAAAAAATGGAAGACTGGATTTATAAAACGGCTTCTGAACGCCTTCAAAGGGATGCTATTGTGGCTGCTTTGTCATGTTTAAATTTGGACATGCTGTTATATCTGTGTTAACTGCGCTTTGGTGCTCACTGTGTCCATAAAATGAACTAGGTGGTTGAACTGTGGAGAATCTGAGCTTTCCAACAATGTCTAACATGTTTATATTGGTAAACATTTTACCGTTGTAATTTTCATGCATTCTGAGTTATTAGTTGTAAACACTATAAAACAGGTTATTGGTACGAAGCCCCTAAAGGGACATGGAGGGGAAAAAAAGAACTTTTGCGAGATCCCTCAATATCTCGCAAAACTATTGCGGGATCTCGCAAAAGTATTGCGGGATCTCACAAAAGTATTGCGAGATCTCGGAAAAAATAAACTTTTGCAAGCTCCCAAAAGTATACGTTTATTTTTTGCGAGATCTCGCAATACTTTTGCGAGATCCTGCAATCCTTTTGTGAGATCTCGCAAAAGTATTGTGGGATCTCGCAAAAGTTTATTTTTTGTGAGATTTCGCAATACTTTTGCGAGATCCCGCAAAAGTATTGTGGGATCTCGCAAAAGTTTATTTTTGGTGAGATTTCGCAATACTTTTGCGAGATCCCGCAAAAGTATTGTGGGATCTCGCAAAAGTTTATTTTTTGTGAGATTTCGCAATACTTTTGCGAGATCCCGCAAAAGTATTGTGGGATCTCGCAAAAGTTTATTCTTTCCCTCCGTGTCCCTTTAGGGGCTCCGTACATCAGCGACCCGGTGGGTTTGGAGAGTAAAACCGAGTCTTTGTAACAGACATCATCTCATTAAAGGCAAACGCTCGCCTTGATGCAATCGCCGTGTGCCTCTGCAGCCGCCGAATGAAGTGGACTGATCCCGCTGTTGTTTACGTTTGCCATGTTGGTGACGGGCAGCAGCAGCTTCAATGACCTGGAAAAACAAACGCACACATGTCGCTGCGGCTCTATCTGTAGGTCTTTCTACTGACTTCTATTATTTTACAAATATTTCTGCCTTATTCCTGATATTTACTGTGAAACCTTCGCCCTGTCCCATTTCTATCACTTGGACTCGTTTTGGGCCCTAGCACTCGGGTGTGAAGGTAGTGTGTCCCAATAATTTAAGAGCTAGGGGGAAGTGCCCTTCAACCCATAAAATGATCCCTTCAGACCGAGGGAGGTCAAGTAAAAGTAAAATGGCGTCCATGTGTTGAAAAGAACTGTGCAAATGTACGTACATTTTTACAATTAATAAGATTTTAGCCACTCTTCTGCCTTCCTAAGCTGCCACAACACAAAATTAGCATTTTAAAGAGGTTTGGTGGAAAACTATAAGTAAACAATAAAATCCAAAATGAAAAACTTTTATATGTCTCTTTCAGAAGGACAAAAAAGGAGAAAGTTGAAACAGGAGTGAGGTGCACTCCTCTAGATATGCATCATATGTTGCCGTTTTAACTGGACGCATAAAAGGTTTGATAAAAGGACACATGAGGTAAAAGAAAAGTCTCACTGAAGATGTCCCCTGTGTGCAGCCCGGTGGATCGGCAGGTGTCCGGTGTGGTTGGAGATGTTGGCATCGGGTCCGTGTTCCAGCAGCAGGCGGATGATGGACGGGTTTCCAGAAGCAGCGGCTTCGTATAAAACGGAGGCCTCATCGTCCGCCTGAGAGAAGATGTCTGCTCCTGCAGGAAGGACCAGATTTTACTTCTAGCTTTCTAACAATGTGCTTCTAAGAGGCGTGGCGTGCTCCAGCAAGCAAAGTGTCGCTGAAATTCCAATATTCACCTCAGTGGCGGTTCTAGACCAAATGTACCAGGGGGCCATGAGGGGGCCAGCGTGTTTTTATGGGATAAGAAAAGCATGAAATAAAAAACAGGGCAAGTCATTCAAATATATTAATAGAGCTGCATGAAGGGAAATTTCTATTCAATTAGGTTTAATTAAAATTCTATGCCTTATTAGGTCAATGAACATTCATAATTTACATATTTTTGACATAATTCAAGTTAAAATTACAGTTTTCTATAAAATCTGAATTCAAACTAAAGAAAAACTGATAAATTCAGCTGTATTTTTATTGTTTTGTTTGAAAACAAACATTTAGCAGATGGAAAACTGGGATCCTATCTCAGTACCACAGAAGCTGTCACCTTATTGATTTTCAATAATCAGTAAAATGAAATAGATCCAAAGGACCTATCAGTAACCATGTCTGTTCAAGCGCAGATCATCATTAGAATTTCTTTTAGTATTATGTCTTCAGTACAGGGGCCAGGACATGATCTACAGGGGCACTGGCCCCCGTTGGCCCCTGTCTAGAACCGCTCCAATTCCCCTTAAGAGAGGAGTTGCTGAGATCACAGATGTTTTTACTTTCACAAAGGAGTTCAACACATAGAGCACGATCTGATCCAAAGATGGACGCTTAATACAAAGAATGGCTGAATAATTATTTCATTGCCTTGTATTTAGGCTCTATTACTGAAATGAACGGCTCTTGTATCCATCTGCATCTATCCTTTAGCTTAGAATTGTTTTAGAAGGCAGAGAGGAGGTGAAGACATTTGGAAATTACACAAAGGAACAAGAAATATTTGTAAAAAAAAAAAAGAAAGAAAGTGATATTTTGGTGCATTTGGAAGCACTGTTTAAATCCTTTCTCTATGGAGTTTGTTTCTTCTCTCTGTGCATGCAGGGGCAGATTTAGGAAATTTGGGGCCCTAGGCAAAGACAGGCAGGGGTCCCTCTGAATTGAGAAGACAACACATGAAACAGACCCATTATCCAGATAGAGAAATGTTAATAGAATAGACATCCATTATCTGTTCTAGGTTACGTCCCTCTCTTCTTGTCCCTTTTCTTCTTGTTTTCCTCTCTATGTTTTGTACTCAGCTGACTTTTCATGCTGTCTCTAAAGGAATGAAAGATTTTTTCCAAGCACTAAGCTCACTTAGCTGATTGCTCCTTCCTGTGTTTCCAAAAAGGCCAAAGTAAATAGTTTTTACTTTGGAGTTCGCACATTTTTTGCTGCTGAATTTTCACCAGATAAAACTTCAGCGTAAGGAATTCAGTGTGTAAAAAAATTCAGTGTTTAAAAGGCAGATTCCAAAGAGACTGTTTTTCTTCCATAAAATACCATAATTTATTTGGCAGATCATCTTGTCTACCTGTTCAAATTAAGGCCAAATGCACTGATAACCTTCCGCCAAGGAGGTTGTTTTTAGGCGAGTTTTTGTGTGTCTGTCTGTGTGCAGGATAACTTGAAGTTTTGAACAGATCTGAGGTAAGCAAGCTTGGCTTTTTGGTTCAATTATTATACTTCATATGCTAAACAATGCATTCCCCCTAGTTTCATGTGTGTTATTATTTTGCCCTTTGCCCCTATGAATGAGGCAGACCCCACCCTGGCTCCCCTGGTACATTTAGTCTCGTCCCATCACTGCCTACAGTCTAATGACAGCACCTCACCTTTCCTCAGGAGGATCTCTGCCACCTCCTGGTGTCCTCCCTGAGCTGCCAGGGCCAGCGGCGTGAAGCCGTAGTTGCTGCGTGGGTCCGGCCGTGCCCCGGCCTCCAGCAGAAGTTTCACCAGCTCCACGTTGCCCACCCGCGCCGCCTCGTGGAGGGGGCGGCGACCGTGGCAGCCCGCCTGGTGCACACTGGAGCCGCGGAGGAGCAGCAGCTTCACCAGGTCGGCCCGGCCTGAGCGGATGGCTGAGGACAAACACAGAGATGGGCTGGAAACAGACCTGGGCTTTTCTGACCGACCCTTTATACTGTTGCTGCTTTTTCTATACTTAGTTTACGGATTATTTAAGCTTCTTTTACTTTTAACATCTTTCTGCTATTACTGTACAGTAGTTGTACTTTTATTTTAACCTTTTATTTTTCCATTTATTCTGTTTTTTTCACATAAACCTTTTGATGTCTATACCCTTTTAGATTGCCTGTCGCTTTGCTGCTCTTACAACTAAATTTCCCCTGTGGGACAATAAAGGAATTTTCTATTATTTTCTAAATAAATGTAAGACAGAATATTAGAGCCAGGCTAGAGATTTTTTTTATTTTTTATTTTTTGAATAAAGTTGTAAAATTACGGGAATAAAGTCGTAACACCACAAGAATAAAGTCATAAAATGTCATTGGTTTCTGAAATACGACAGAGTATTAGGGCCAGGCTAGAGAACCTTTTTGTTTTTTTATTTCGAGAATAAAGTCATAAAATTACGAGAATAAAGTCATCATTCAACAACCCGTTTCAGAAAGAAAGCTTGGAGCTCCGCCCAGCAGATGACGTCAGACCAGCTCCACCAATCAGCAACCAGAGTCCACTTTGACATGCTGCCCAGTTTGATGCTGCTGCTAAAAGATTTCCTGATTTGTCAAACCGATGCTAAAGTAGAACTTCACATGATGCTCCACATTTTAGGGAAGAAAGGGCTTCTGGGAAGAGTTGTTAGAAAATACAACTTGTTTCTTGCAATATAACGACTTTATTCTCGAAATAGATGTTTCTGCGGAAAATTTGCATCATTTAACCTTAGCCTTAGGCTTAGAGGCGGAGTTAGAAGGTGGCTAATCAATGTCCAGCCCAGGCATTTTCCCTCCAAACCAGAGGGTGGCAGCAGTGATACTCTTTAGTAGAATGCCCTGATTATTTGACATTTGAATTCTTAATAAATAAAAGGAGATGGCTAAAAGTCTGACTCCTCCCACCAAGTAGGTGGCGGACTGAGCTGTTCTTGTCACTATCTGATCGGTCCCGGAAACACGATCCATACCAATGGCTCATTTGCGTAAGCAGATATAAATCAGGTTTACCCTCAATTTTAATTTGTAAAAAATACCTATTTTACATTTTCCCTCCTTAAAAATACTAAGCCTGCTAAACTATATTGTGTTAAAGGTTAATAATGTATTAGAAGCGGCTAAAATCCTATATTTTAGGCTACTGCTTGTTATTCCTGAAAGGCTTCGGTTTTACTTGCGCTTAATAAAGATTATAATGCCGATATTTAGTTCGACTTAAAATAAAGTCATTTCATGTAACAACAATGTCCATAGTTTTACTACTTGCCTTTTAGATAAATACATAAATCTGACATTGATCTGAACCAAACACCATAGAAAACTGTTGCCTCCTCTCATTAATGACAGCTGAACAGAATCATGGTTGACCTTAAATAACCCCACCCCCATCAAACAATCAGAACTTAAAATGAAATACGCCCCCTGGTGGCGATAAACACAGGAAAGGACAAATCCTACAGTAGTTCCTGAGAAAATCAATGGATTAAAATCCTTTCTGATTTATCTTCTGTTCCCGATCTGCACCGGAAATGGGATGCTACGCTACTTCCAGGAGCTAACTTTTTAGGCTTTGGATTTAAACATAAATCTAGTCTTTTTGACTTTTTAGATTATGGAATATATTAGGCGTAATCCAAAGAAAGAAACAACTGGAAAAAAATTATAAACTGGGTTTAATCAGATTTTGCTGGACTGCTCTGAGCATGTCCCATGATGACGTCAGAGAAGCTGTTTAAATGTATTCTTTAGTGATAAGGATAAAAATAAGTACTTTTAGTACCATAATTACATTATTTATGGAGACCTGGATGAATATCTGCTTGCACGGATCGGGTGGTGCCAGTCAGCAATAGCCTTTCTTCATGAACTGGTTCTGGTGCCTACCAGTCCATGCACATTGATCACCATGACAGCGTATTACGGCCATTCACAGACGGGGAAAAAAAAGAAAGAAATTTTATTTTTATTTTACTTTAAAGTGGCATATTTATGAGAATAAACAAGAAAATTTACGTGTAAAAGAAAAACAAATTACAAGATTATAATGCTTGATGAAAATTTATTGCATCGTTAATTTTTACTTTAAAAAACTAACGAGGAGGCCATTGTACGGTTTCATTCCATTGGTAAAGCCCCCAATTAATGATGCATTTGCATGTGCTTCATGTAACATATTTGAATGTGAATTATAATCTTTAATTGTTCCCCAAATTTACACATTTAAATCTTGCAAATTTGCTACTTTCTCTCTTATGCATGTATGTTTTAATTTCATACATTTGTGTGTTTTTACTCAAGTTTCTTAAATATGCCAAATTTAACTCAAAAATGTAAATTCCATTTTTTCCCCCCGTCTTTGAATGGCCCTAATTCACCATCATAGATCACTGCCAAGACACCATTATAAGGACTATCCTGCAGCTGAAAATACTTCAACCCAACAAAGGTAAAGTTTAGGATCTTTCAATTAAGTCAATAACTTAATGGATAAATAAATAATATATATAAATAAATAATATAAATAAATATAAAAATAAATATATATCCAATTATAAAATATATTTAATATTTTCTTTTTTGTGATCTTAGCAAACAGAAATGCTGCTTGATGACATGTAGACCAGCCCACCTACAAACAGCGGGGCGTCCTTGTCTTGGTCCTGGCAGTCCGGCTGAGCTCCATGTTCCATGAGGAATGAGGCGTTTTCAATCAGACCCTGTTCTACTGCCAGGTAGAGGGGCGTCTGGCCCCGAAGAGTCCGACAATCCAGAGAGTTTGGACCTGCAGCTGGAGAACAGGTGAACTCTTTCAATCAACTCCTCATTTCTTCCTATTACTGGTAAAATACCTTTGAAATAAATTCATCTTTTATAGCAGCAGAATCATTGCATCAGTCACACAAATACAGTTATAACTAAAAGGTTTTTCATAATAACTTTCAATGTTGAGTTTTTACGGTAACAACTATTAAAGTCATAGGGAAGCGACTTTTCCAAAGGTTGCATTTCTGAATTCTCCTGAGTGGTGCCCGACTTTACACGAGCGAATAAAGTGAATGTGATTGGTCATTTATCAAGGGGGCGGGATTATTGTGGAGAAAGGTTCGCAAGCATGTTTGGTTGTGGCCGGTTTGTCAGAAGCATCTTGCCAACCAGTTAGCAACTTAGTGCTAGTAGGTTCTAGGGGTGGAACAGTTCACAAAATCCACAGTTCGGTTCGGTTCACGGTTTCGTGATCACGGTTTTCGGTTCGATATATGTTGATTGTTAGCCTGACATGTTGGTCGTGTTGCCGTTAGCATAAACAAAAAGTGTTGCACAATGCTTGTACACTGTTGCGACAGTGGCGTTGGATGTAGGAGTTTGCCCTGAAATTGAAGGGTTCACGGTTCAAGCCTGACTTTCATTGTCGTTGTGTCCTTGGGCAAGACACTTCACCCGCATTTTCTACTGATGGTGGTAAGAGGGCCCGGTGGCGCCAGTGTACGGCAGCCCCGCTTCTGTCAGTGAGCCCCAGGGCAGCTGAGGCTACATTGTAGCTTGCCACCATCAGTGTGTGAGTGTGTCCGTGAATGGGTGAATGAGTGTATTGTACAGTGCTTTGGTCAGGTCTCCTGACTTGAAAAAAGGCGCTATATAAGTACATGCCATTTACCATTTTACCATGTTGCACTTTTATCCACAACTTTCTTTCCGCCGTCATCGTAGGTCACTCTAAATGCAAAGCGGTCCCATACAGCAGACCTATAAAGTGCTGCTGGCGCGTCTTCCAACTCGCCATACCCACACAATTCTCCACAACAACTGATTTTTTTCTGCTACACCCGGCTACGCTGCTTCGCTTCTTCTTGTTTACTACTGTAGGCTGGCTTTGGTCGCAGTACCGCCACCTTCTGCTCTGGAGTGTACACGCTTCGCCTATGAGAAAAAGGAGCAGCGCGCGAACCAAACCGAGACAGTCGAACCGAACGGTTAGGACGGTTTTCATAAACCGTTCCATCCCTAGTAGGTTCCCAATGGGAAATTCCATTGGGACCAAGTAGCACTATATTGGTGACTTAGAAACGACACTGTCAACAGTGTTGTGCCTGAACGCGTTCATTGAACGAAAGTTCATGAACTCGTTCATATTTTGAGCGAACGTGAACTGAACGTACTGCATTACTGCCTGATGAAGGTTATTGTGAACTTGTTCATTCTGGTGTCTGTGAACGGCACGCTCTCTCAGTTCAACTCCGTTCAATAGGTTGCCAGATTTCTATAGAGCCCTCCAGGCGAAACCCCGGCTAAATCACACCGTAAACAGGCCTTAATATGTAGCGGGGAAAACACCCAATCTGGCAACACCAGCTACCAGCTTCGTAGCCTACAGCCGCGTGCGTCATCAAAACAAAATGCAGCGTGGAAGCCACAGCAGCATGGAGGCTACCGTGGAGGCGACAAAGCAGCAGTATGATCACTTAAAACAGGTTTATGACCAGGTGGTCGGTGAGGATGATGGCAACAATCTTACATTTCTCTGCAAACTTTGCCCGCCGGCTTTCAGTAAAAAAATCCGCACTTCAGTAACATCCAAAGCAAATCTAAAACGGCATATGTACTGAAATGGAATTTCAAATGGAAAAAATTATTAAAATTAAAAAACATTTGCACCTTAAAGACTACTTTCCTGTTTTTCTTTTAATAATTCCTCATTAAAAAGACCATTCAAAACCCTGACCACCCAGGGTGCAGACCAGGAAGCAGAGTTGTAGTTTAACACACATCTCTGCAGCTTCTCTACTGTTACCCACTCTTTACTCCATCCAGACAGTGTCTTGCCCACGACCAAAATCTAATAAATTAGCAAAGATTCCCAAAGGAGTAAATCATGATAATCTAATTAAAATCAAAATAACTCCAAGTGGGGAAAAAGTTAAAACAATTAAATGCGGTCTGTTTAACATAAGATCGCTTTCCTCTAAAAGTCTGCTAGTTAATGACTTGATTTGTGATAATCACATTGACTTGTTTTGCCTTACAGAAACCTGGCTGCAGCAAGAGGATTATGTGAGCACAAATGAGGCAACTCCTTCAAGCTATTTAAATTTTCACATACCCAGAAGTTCTGGGCGAGGAGGAGGAGTAGCAACAATCTTCCAGTCTGACTTACTGATTACTCCCAAAACAGTTAATACCTACAACTCTTTTGAACATTTAACCCTTAATTTCCCTCATCCAAATTTCAAGGCAAGAAAACCTCTTCTTTTTGTAACTTTGTATCGTCCGCCAGGTCCTTACTCTGAATTTTTAGATGAGTTTTCAGAGTTCCTTTCTGATTTGGTATTAAATACTGACAGGGTCATCATAGTGGGAGATTTTAACATCCATGCTGACATTGAAGGCGATAGCTTAAGAGCAGCCTTTAATGCTATCTTAGACACTATTGGCTTTGTTCAAAATGTGAATAGTCCCACGCATTCTCATCTTCATACTTTGGATCTTGTGCTGACATACGGCATAGAATGTGAAGAAATAACAGTATTTCCTCACAACCCTGTCCTCTCTGACCACTTTCTAATAACCTTCAGGATTACTTTAACAGAGTTCTCCTCCCCCAAAAGAAGGTTCAATTTTAGTAGATCTTTATCAGATAGTGCAGTTATAAATTTTAAAGAATCGGCTTCACCTTCTCTCTCCTCTGTGTCGCTGAGCAGTACTGCAGAGTGCAAAAGCATAGCTTATTCCCCTTCACAGGTTGATGATTTTGTTGATGGGGTTGCTAGTTCTCTGCGTACTGCCTTAGACAACGCAGCTCCTTTGAAAATGAAAACCGTTAAAAATAGAAAGCTTGCTCCTTGGTTTAATGCAGAGCTGCGTACTTTGAAGCAAAATGCTAGGAAACTGGAGAGAAAATATCGCTCCACAGGCCTGCGAGAGTCCTTCCTAGTCTGGAAAAATGGTTTACTGCTGTATAAGAGGACCCTTTGTAAAGCAAGAGCAGCATACTTCTCCTCATTAATAGAGGAGAATAAGAATAATCCTAGATTTCTTTTTAATACAGTTGCCAAACTCACCCAGAGCCATAGCTCTGTTGAACCGTCCATTCCACCTGCTCTTAGCAGCAATGATTTTATGGGATTCTTTATAAATAAGATTGATCTTATTAAAAATAAGATCATAAGCACTCCTCTATCCGCGATTGTACCTGAGGTAGTCATGGAATCTGAACCGGGTTTAGACTGCTTTGATCCAGTTGAACTTTCTGAATTAGCAAAATTATTGTCTTCATCTAGGCCTTCAACTTGTATGTTAGATCCAGTTCCAACCAGGTTATTTAAGGAGGTATTCCCTTTGATCTCCTCCTCCATTTTAGATGTGATTAATCTATCTCTGTTACAGGGATATGTACCTAAAGCTTTTAAGGTTGCTGTAATTAAACCTCTGCTTAAGAAACCGTCTCTTGACCCAGATGACTTGGTTAATTATAGACCTATATCCAATCTTCCTTTCTTATCCAAAATTCTTGAGAAAGTAGTTGCCAAACAAGTTTGCGACCACTTACACCATAATGAACTTTTTGAAGAGTTTCAGTCTGGCTTTAGAGCTCATCATAGCACTGAAACAGCTCTGGTGAAAGTCACTAATGATATTCTCATGGCCTCAGATAATGGACTTGTATCTGTGCTCGTCCTGTTGGATCTCAGTGCTGCATTTGATACAGTTGACCATAATATTCTTTTAGAAAGACTTGAATATTTTGTTGGAATTAAAGGAACAGCACTAGACTGGTTTAAATCTGATCTATCTGATCGAATTCAGTTTGTTTATGTTAATGATAGATCTTCAACACACTCAAAGGTTACCTGTGGAGTACCACAGGGATCAGTGCTAGGACCAATTCTCTTTACTTTATACATGCTCCCAATTGGTAGAGTTATTAGACAGCATGGGATTAATTTCCACTGTTATGCTGATGATACCCAGCTATATCTGTCTATAAATCCAGATGAAGCTAACCCATTACATAGATTACAAGCATGTCTTGAAGACATAAAAACCTGGATGACTCTTAACTTTCTGCTTCTGAATGCAGACAAAACAGAAGTTATAGTCTTTGGACCAGAGTCTCTGAAAAAGAAGCTGATTAGTCAGTCACTTCATTTGGATGGGATTAAACTGATTTCAGATAATAAAGTAAAAAATCTTGGTGTTATTTTTGATCAGGACCTGTCATTTAAATCCCAGATCAAAGAGGTTTCTAGAATTTCCTTCTTTCATCTGAGGAACATTGCAAAAATTAGAAATCTCCTGTCCAGGGGTGATGCTGAGAAACTAGTCCATGCATTTGTTACTTCAAGGCTGGACTATTGTAATTCTTTACTATCAGGAAGTCCACAAACTGTAGTTAAAAGCCTTCAGCTGATCCAAAATGCTGCAGCCAGAGTTCTGATGAAAATTAAAAAGAGAGATCATATCTCGCCTATCCTGGCTTCTCTTCATTGGCTTCCTGTTAAATCAAGAATAGAATTTAAAATCCTCCTTCTCACATATAAAGCCTTAAATGGCCAAGCTCCATCTTATATCAGAGATCTGATTGTTCCTTATGTTCCTAACAGAGCACTTCGCTCTCAATCTGCAGGTTTACTAGTGGTTCCTAGAATTTCTAAAAGTAGAATGGGAGGCAGATCTTTTAGTTATCAGGCTCCTCTCCTGTGGAACCATCTACCAGTTTTAGTCCGTGAGGCAGACACCCTGTCTACTTTTAAGACTAGGCTTAAAACTTTCCTTTTTGATAAAGCTTATAGTTACGGTGGCTCAGGTTATCCTGAGCTATCTCTATAGTTATGCTGCTATAGGCTTAGACTGCTGGAGGACATAGGGACCCCCATTTCATCATTCTGCTTCATTCTCTCTCTGTTCTCCTATTCTGCAGAATCTGTTAGTTCAATCTCTAACCTTCTGCTCTCTCTGCTTTTCCTCAGAGTAGCTTTGCCTCGTCTGTTCCTGTTTGGCTGTGACGTCATCCAGGAAAGAAACATCAGCTGTGCTGCTTCCATCAACACCCTTGTTTGTAGATGTTGGAGATCGGCCTGTCTTCAGGTGTGGTCCTGTTTCTCTGGCTGTGGCTGGGTGGATGTGCTCTCTTCATCCTCTGGCATGGGAGCTGCCTTGGAGCTCGTCTGCCTGGCTGTGTGTTTCCTGGACGGGGCCGCCTTTTACAGCTGCTTTTTGTATCTCTGCTTCTGTCTCCTTGAACCCCAGTCGGCCTCGGCAGATGGCCGCTCACACTGAGCCTGGTTCTGCTGGAGGTTTCTTCCTGTTAAAAGGGAGTTTTTCCTCTCCACTGTCGCTACAAGCATGCTTAGTGTGAGGGATTGTATTTGAGTCAATGAGTCAATGCAATCAACTGGTTTTCCTTAGATAGAAAACTTTGTATCAATTTGACTGTATGATCTGGTTGAACTGTAAAGTGCCTTGAGATGACATGTGTTGTGAATTTGGCGCTATATAAATAAACTGAATTGAATTGAATTGAATTCAAGCAGCACATTTTTCCTGATGTTTTTGAGAATATACTGTAGGGGTGAAAGCTGCAGCTGCTACTAGTGTGAAGTGAATGGACAGCAACAAAGCATTAAAGTAACAATGGGGAAATGCTGTCCCCTCAATGCTAATGTAAACCCTGGTTGGATAAGGATTCAAAACTGGATATGAAGATGAAATCTGACGCACAGTTTCAGAGTTACAACTGATAAAATAATTGCTGTCTGTGGTTCTACAGTAGGCTATGATGTAATTGAGCAATATATGAAAAAAAAAAAAAAAAAAAGAACTATGAACTAGTTCATTTTTTGGAATTGTGAACTTAGTTCAAAATTTTGAATTATGAACTATGAACTGAACTAGTTCATTTTAAAATGTGTGAACTGAACTTTGAACTAGTTCACGTAGAAAGAGAACTTTCCCAACACTGACTGTCAAGGAACGCTATGGACAGCGGAAACATGCAAGAGGAGGAGAGTTTAGTGTCGGAGGTCATGGATGAGTCTCCTCCGTCATCCATTTTTTATTTAGAGGAGGAAAGCGGGGACGAAGATGTTGTGGAAGAGGACGCCAGGGCGGCAGAAGCTTGGTTTGGTGTAGAAGGCTTCCAGCCGTACATGTTTGAGCCCTTGCCTCGCAACGCTGCCAGTTCTGTTAGCTCTACGCCTGCCGAAGACACAGACGTCCATCCCCGTGAACACTGGGACGGAACTCAATGGGAAAGGAAAGGATTCTGATTTCAACCGTTGCGTATATTAGCTGTGACACATAAATCAAGATGCTATGACCGAAAACATTTGATTGACAGATGACCGTTGATATATGATTGGCTGAATTTAGGTGTTCAGGCTGACGTAGAACTAACTGGCCTGCAGAAGATAACGGGGAAAAAACACAGATTTTAAGACAGAATTTTTTTTTTTTATAGCAATTTTCTAACTTTTAGGACAATATCCTCTGATAAAGAATAAATTTATATACATGTTTAAGCCAGAATGATTTGACATTTAAATATTACTTCCCTACGACTTTAAACTAATAAGCCAAGCCAAGCTGTAGGCTAGCTGGAGCAGGTTTGGTTGAGCCGCTTTAGAGCTGTGTGAGCTGCTCTATCGGCCCCTTACCCGATTAGAAACTATTTTATTGCATCGAAAAATCTGTTTGTCAAGTTTCTCTTTCATTTCTATTCTGATTTATTTTTCTACAAATCTTGGCCCACAACTTTTGTCTTTTTTTACTTGTTTTTATTACATTTTTTTTCTTATATTAATCAGATGTTAGGATTAGTTACTCAGAACTTGAGAGGTTTTCTATTTACCGGTATATTCCACTTGAGTTATGTTGTGAATGGCTACCTTGTGGAGTACCACAGGGCAGCTGTTTAGGTCCTCTTTTCTTTTCTATTTTTTTTTTTTTTACATTTACCAGGAATGTTATTGTTGGACCTAAAGTTATGAGGGGCTGATCAAATACAGAGAGCTGTTATTTAGATCCATGGTGTCACTGAATGTATTATATGGACCTTTTGAGATTAGAGGGCAATAAAAACAGTATTGAGTTCAGAAGCAGCAATGATCATGTTAATGTTGGTGTTTTTTGTATATTACGATGCCTTCTGAAGTGTTGTGGTGGGTAACAGAATTTTGTAAAGCATGTTCCACACTGTAGCAATGGTGCAAAAACTAAGAGGGGTCTGCAACCTTTCATATATAAAGATCCATTTTGAGTCCAGCCAAATAAAACTCGTTTACAGCCCCAATATACCACATGATTTTTTAAATAAAAAACACCACCTATTATTTTTGTTAAATATCTGCCATAAGAAATCTGTTGCTATTTTAAACAACCAAGAGCTTATTTGTATTTTTTGCTTTTAATATAAGGATAAATATAAAACTTCATAAAACTGAAGCCTTGATTTTTTTTCTGTTGGAAGTATTTGATATAAACAAAAATGATAATAATGAAACACCTAGTTTCTGAGCTAATTAAAGGAAAAATCGCTCTGAAACATATTTGTGGTGCTTTCCAATATTTTTTATAAAAAAAAAACCAAAAAATTGCTCTTGTAGTACATGATTTAGTTCTTTATATAATTTTAAGCCACTATTAAAGGAAAAGTCCAGTCAGGTAGGAATAATCATTGGATCATTATCTATACCTAAAACTAACACGTTCACTGAGATTTAATGAATTTAGCGTTAATCAGTAAAAAAAAATAAAAACAATAATTTTCATCACGATCACTGAGCCTGGGAGCGGCCATTTTTGCCCCCCCCCCCCCCCCCCCCCCCCCCCCCCCTGCCATCTTCCAGCAGTGACAGAAACCTGAAGGTCTTAATTTGCCATTAAAAAAATTAGATTCTGTGATCAGATGAAATTATAAGGAGTAACAAGAGACTGTAATCATGCTGAATTAACTAAACAAATCATATTTTCTTTGTCTCCTGTGCAGAATCTACATCTTTCCCAGAGAAAGTTACTTCAAACTACAGGAGCTGCACTTCCCTTCTCTCCTCTGAAGGAATGGATCATTATCTATACCTAAAACTAATATGTTAGTGAATTTAGCGTTAATCAGTAAAAACAAATAAAGATAATTATTTGTTTCATGATCACTGATATTGGGATTTTTGCCCAAATATAGTAACCCCTCCCTCCTGCCATCTTCCAGCAGTGACGTCACGCTGCGGTAAGCCTAGCGCCATTCTCCCCGCTTTACAAGCTAAATCAATGGGAACTACTAGACACATCTGCAATCAACAACAATTATTGAAGAATTCCAGAGGACTTCACCATTGAAATTCACCAGAGCATACGTAATATGTAGCCAACATTTGGAAGAAGAATGTTTTCAAGGTGACTTGGATAATAGCGCGTTGTGACAAACACCAGATACAGCACTGGGACTTGATCAACAGCCGATACCGCACCGTGACGTCACTAACCAGTAGGTGGCAGTAGTGTTCTTTGACAAACATGGATGCCTCCAGTAAAGCACATTCACATGAAAATTACTCTGAATTAAAAACACTGATCATTGATTGAACAGGATGGAATAATTTCAGATTTAAAGGACTTTCAGAAGTTTGAATTCTGAATATGAGCCGACTTTTCCTTTATGATTCATTTAAGAGGGTCCAAAGAGCCACAGGTTGCAGACCCCTGTGTTAGCGGATCAATTGGAACTTTCCAACTTAGTTGTTTGCAATGATAATGAAAGATGTTGTTATTTTATCTATGTATTGAACTGATTGATTATTATTGATACTACTATTTTATTCCATATTGCGCTTTTACGGTTTATGTTTGCATGTCTGCATGTAGGTGGCTGTGTACGTTACTTAATAAGAGCCATTTTGCAATGAAAATGAAAGAGAACAGAACATCCTGTGTTCAGTCAGGAGCTAATGGGACTCTCAATCAAAGCAGATGACAAACACATGGTTTGATGCTTCATGCTTAACAAACTGACTATCAAACTCAAAGTCAACGACAAATTATGCTGCTGCAGCAAAGTATTGGTTCTTATTGAGTAAGCTGGGCTGGCTATGAATCATCCAAACCTTTGTGTGTGAGCTCCAGGATGATCTCGTTGCTCTGAACTGCTGCTTCATGGAGCGGAGTCCATCCTCTGCTGTCAGTCTGCAAAAACTTGTCCTTAAGCTTGACGCACAGATCCCTCAGAAGCCTCTCATTACCTGGAGGAAAGGTTGAGTGATTATTTACTGAAATATTACCAAATTATTCATAGTAGTTATTCGTATTATAATTGATGTCAGGGGTGTTTTCATCTTGCTTTACCTTGTTTAATCGCGGAGAAGATCTTGGAGATGTCTGAGGAGGCTAAATCATTGCTGGATGAAAACAAAGAAACTCTGGTTTTAAATCAGAGGATGCATCCAGATACTTCTATTCCGGATCTCTTATAAATTGCGCCTTTTTTATGGAATATTTAGGTGTTTAAGATGGTTACTCACAGACATGAGATTAGTACCTAAAGCTGCTTTCTATAAAGCTTCTAGTTAGAGTGGCTCAGGTTATCCTGAGCTATCTCTATAGTTATGCTGCTATAGGCTTAGACTGCTGGAGGACATAGGGACCACTTTTCCTCACTCTGCAACATTCTACTGCTTTTCTCAGTTTTAAAGTATTTGTCATTTTGTCAGAAATCTTATACACCTGCAATTTTCTGGATTTTATAAAAGCCGTGATCCAAACAAATTAATTAAGTTAACACAAAACTGACTATGGACGGCACAGTTTTGGCACACATTAAAAAACTGTCAGTTATTGCAAGGCAGCATGCACATCACACCTAAAAAAATAATGCAACCACTTTTGGTATTTACTTAATCATATTTAGTTACTTTAACATGATTGTTTTATGTCTTACCCTGCAAACATGAAACTATTGTGTTAAAGTAACTGACTATTTTTAAGTAAATGCTATCAGAAAATGGGTTATTTAAGTGTTATTTAAGATTACATGTGTTGTGAACTGTCTGCTTATTTCTCATAGGGATCATCTTAGCAACATTATTATATAATTAGTTTGCATTAGTTTCCTCAGTTGGAAACCTTTTGGTTTGTTCTGTTAGAGACACTCGATGATGGAGGTTCTTCCCTCCAGCAGAACATCTTAGGTTCGGGTTTGTCCTTCTCAACTGACCCCATCTTGTCTCCTGTTGGGGACGCTCTGACCGTTTCCCTCTTCCTGCTGCTCTCCAGCAGACTCTGTTCAATTATGTACTGAAGCATCTCATCTTCCTCACCATCCTCCAACCCGAACTGATCCATCCAGACAAAACTCCCCCGAAACGTAGTTTGGAAGAAGTCTGAAGCTGGAAAAAACATCATATGTATTATTACTCGGTAAAAACACAAAAAAAACTGTACAGTTAGGGCACATTTACAGCATTAAATTGGATAATTAAATTGAAAGAAAGATTTAAAAAATGAATATGTGCATGCATGAAAGGATCTTTAAAGTCCAACCACCAAACTGTAAATCTGTTTCCCTGTTTAATTTTGTTCAGAAATTCTTAAAATTCTAAAAATCTTAGCCAGTAATTACCATCTCTAGTATTAGTGTATTCTCAATTTTTCTGTTTATTTTCTGTTTTAATTAACTGTTTTATGTGTCTATTGTTGTATCTGTTCACTTTCTGTGTAAGTCAGCCAAATGGATATTCTTATGATGACATTTGATGACCAGAGAGGCTCCAGCATCACCTTATACGGTAACGCTGTAGCGTGGAGGAGAAAGGAGGGATACTGCAGCTTGAGAAGCACCTCCTTGCTGGCTGACTTCTGGGTGAACTGAGAAGCATGTAGAAGCCCCGACGCGTCGCTGGTTCCTCAGCTCAGGTTGTAAAAAGGACCTGAGATAGAAGGCCGGATCTTTGTGCTTTTCGCAATGATTTCGTTAACCATGACTGGAATAAATTCTGTTAATGCTTAAACACATTTCCTTCTTTCATCTGAGGAACATCCTTCCTCAGATCTTGTCCTGGTAATTGAAATGATCAAACACAAGTATCCATAGCCTGTATTCATGCTCCTAACTTCTCCACTGTTTGTCATCAACTAAATTTAGTATTCTAGTGATGTTTTACGTGACAGCCCAACACTAAGCAGTTCATAAATTGGATAAATGTGCCTCTCTTAACTGCTAGATTTTTGACAAGGCAGGTTTTATTTATTAAGTCCCTTTTTACTGATAGATTTAAATAAAACCCAGGACCTTTGAGGTCCCATTTCACAAAGCAGGGTTAGTGATTATCCAGAGTAATTTCCTTCATACACTGGTTTTTCCTTTTCAGGAAAGGAAGCCATTTTCCTAAGTCAAATTATAAGAAATGTAGCACAACCCTAGGCAGGAAAAAGCCTCTGAGGATTTAACAAACATTAGATTTTAGGGGCTGAAATGCTGCAGCTTTTAGATTAATCTTGTGCTTCAATGCACCTGGATTACATCACTGGGTTATTAACCGGATTCTGTAGAACTTTGCTGCATGCATGGAAGTCCAGCCATCTGATTTGGTTGTGCAGGATCCGGGACCTGATCTAAAAATCCAAAAACTAAAGCCATCAATGAGTAGAGCTGGATGCACTCAGCTGTGATCAAAGGATGTTTAGGTGTAAAAACAGCCTAGTCAAAGTTCACACCTTAATCCAGCTGAGGATGTTTGGGAAGACTTGATAACTGCAGCAACTCTGACAAAAAGCCGTGATTTTGATTCTTGGTTTGATCAGTTTCCTGAATTCTGCAACATGTCTGGTATTTTTCAATGTTATAGAGGAGCAAGAGTTCCCCTTTGCAAAAAAAAAAAAAAAACCTAAAACAAACTTTAGTCTTTAAAAGATTTAAGAGGGTAAAGAAAAAAATCCCAGATTACCTTGCAGATTTAAACTTACCAGAGTAAAGATCCTCTTCGTTTGGTGTTGCTCAGCTGAAGAGCAGAACAAACTGCCGCTTCATGCCTCAGCAAAGCAGCTCTCTGATCTTCCACAGGTAAACGGTCAATCAAAACATTTAACAAGTCATACCCTTTCAGAGTAAGCGCTGCGTTTCAGCTGCAGCTTCCTGGCAGCAATAAAGGAGATCCGACACCCGTTACTATATTTACTCTCACTCACCAAATGGGTTCATGACTCCAAACAAATAGAATGTCAGGTGACTCTCAGCATGTTTACACTCTAGAGCTTTCTGTCTTTGAGCGCTGCTCATATTAATTTGATAAGATCAAATCAAGACAATTAAATGTTCCTGTAATAAAGTTTTGATATCTATATGCTGCCATCAGGCTGTAAAGATGCCTATTTCTTCCCATTGTTTCCAGTAAAGTAAATGTTTGGTAAATGAAAATTTTTAAAAAAAAGTTTACTCCAGAAATGACTGAAAGAAAATGTGAAAATATATAAAAAGCAATGCTAACCAAATTTTAAAAATTGACATTTGCAGGCCCGCTTCAGCAGCACAGTGGTTAGCACACATGACCCATGTATGGAGGCCCAGTGGTGCTTTGCCGCATGTCTCTACTCCTCTTCGTATCCCATTTCCTGTCAGCCTACGGTCCAAAAACCGAGCCACTAGTGCCGTAAAAACTAAAACTAAAAAAAAAATTACTAAACCTTTTACTGCCTATACTTAAAGCATTGTGCAGAAAATTTTTTTTTCTAAATCAAAGATCTGACTGCAAAAAAAAAAAAAAAAAAAAGGTTGCATATTTACGTGTAAAAGAACAAGACTGGAGTAAAAGGGGTTAACATTTGCTGCTTAATAAGCAAAACAGTCCTAAAGTGCAAGTGCATCTTAAATTTTCTAAAGTGTGAGATGAAGGGAACAAAAAACCAAACCGGATCAGACTGAAATTGAAAACATGTTTATTTTATTTTCTGTCTCCTGTTTATGACCTGGGTCTCTCCTTCTTGCCTTTGTAAAGCGCCAGCAGAGACACGTTGGCCACTTTGACCACCTTGAAACGGACTCCAGGGATGTCACCCACGGCGTGACCCTTACGACCGAAACCTGCCACCAGAACTTCGTCGTTTTCCTGCAGAGCCAGAAAAGGCAGATTAAAGAGCAAAAGAAAAAAAATAAAGGCATCTCTAGGTTTCCATAAAGCATGAAAAGGGTTCATTTTACAGCTTCCAACCAAAGTCATTTACCTCGATGTAGTTGAGGCAGCCGTCGTTGGGAACGAAGGCCGTGATCTTCTTGCCGTTCTTGATGAGCTGGACTCTCACGCACTTCCTAATGGCAGAGTTGGGCTGCTTGGCCTCCACGCCACTGTAGAGAAACAGCTAAAAAATTACTATGCAGGCCATTCAATCCATCTTAAATACATTTAAAACTCTTCTAATCTTTGAGGAGCCAATTTTTAAAATTATCAGGTGCATAGAGACTTCAGCAGGTAGAAGAATACAAGTTAGGGCTAACAGACTCAATGATCTGCTAGCTTATCTCAGTTATTTCACTCACACTTTCTCAAGGACGATGCCCTTGGCGTGAGAAGCTCCTCCGAAGGGGTTAGCCTTTAGGGCGGTTCCCAGGTGAGCTTTCTTGTATTGTTTATCGTGCCATTTCTGCTCACGGCGGTGGTTCCGGAGCTTCCTGGCGGTACGCAGACCACGACACTTTCCTGAAGATCAAGAGACACATTCCATTAACAACTTAAAAATAATAATACAATTCATAACTATCCACCTAAATCTAAATCAGCAGCAAAACCATGGCATTATATTGAGCTTGATGAGATAACGTGAAAATGGAAAGATACAATATTGCCATAAAACAAAAAAATACACCATACAGTTTGTGATTTAAAGATTATAATTTTCTTTATTGCCATGTCATTTAATGCCGTCGAGTTTCTCCACAAAACTGTTGAAAATCTTTGTCTTTTAGAGGTTGGTGGAAAAAAGCTGCTTTTCTTCTCCAACCTTTTCAACACAAGTTTCATCGTTAAAGTTTGCATAGAACTTTGAAAAAGTCGATTTGCTTCTTAACACACCGAATTGTAAAATAAAATGTTAAAAGTCTATCTACCCTACAACATCCAAACAAATTATGTTTCTATAAGTTGTCTTTTCATTGATAAACAGGACGTTATATTTCCTTAGAAACCATTTTGTTTGTCGTTCAAAATGCTGAAATCCTCTAAATCTGCTGAACTATCTGGAAACCTTTTGTCTATTTTTTTCCTCTGACTTTATTTTTATATTATTTAGTGTTGCATGAGGGGTCTGTGGAAAATAAGCTGAATATTTTACCAATTACAGAGTCCTTTTTATCTATATTAATAGCATTATTTCTGATTTAAAGATTATAATTCATTTTATTGCCATATTTCATTTAATGCTGTTGAGTTTCTCTGTAAACCTGTTGAAAATCTTTGTCTTTTAGACGTTGGACAAATACTGCTTTATTTCAACTTTTACTACATGAGTTTCTTTAATTTCTAAAATGCAGAAATGCTTTAATTATGACATTTTAGGGTCAATGGAGCTGAAATATTCAAAGACTAATAGTTGGAGGACATTATTTAATGAATCACTTGATTATTTTCATATGGTCCATTATTGATGACGTAAAGCATAGGTGTCAAGTAACAACCCACAAATACTTGTTTACCTACTTTAAGTAGAAATGTTGCCCATCTATATTTTAAGGGGGTGCTTACTTTTAGGAAACCTTTTACTATTCTTTAGCAATAATCTCTACGTTTTACACCTTACATTTAAAAAGTCTCGTTAGTTTTGTTTCATTTAAGCTAATTTCCATCATGTGTAATGATCTCAGACACAATTGTTAATTATAAGCAGAAGGAAAAACAGATTCAGCGTTTTAAGGGCCAATAAAATCTCTGCTCTAATTAAAGGCCCTAGTTATGAAGGACTCGCATCTCAGCGAGTCACGCACAAAATTAACATGTAGTAAAACACAAATCTGGAAAAGCATTTTTAATTTATTAGATGTTTTAATTTACATCAGTTATTTAACATGCAGAACCCGCTGGAGAAAATTAGCATGAAAGCTGCGCTAGCCTAAAGGATAGCAACAATTGATGCGTATAATGAAACAATTCAGCTAGACTACATTGACATAAACGTAATCTACCTTTTACAAGCAAACATCAGTAATGGTGTTAAAAACCATAAATATTTCATTAGTCCTAAACTAAGAGCGCCGAGCGGCGGCTAGCAGCGGAGCGACATTATGGCCGCTCCACGTTGCGGACAGACGCCGCTGAATAAACGTTCCTTTTATCATAAAGTTTGAATTTTTACCGACAAAAAACAACAACAAGCAGCACAAAAGACCTTTATATATAGAATCGACACAAAACCTGAGCTTAAAATAATGATATGATCGGTATTTTGGTGAAAAACGAGCCTTACCCATGATTGCAGAAGCGAGCCTGGGATTGGAAAGGAAGGACCCAGCATGCACCGCGGCAATGTGTAGTCTGAGGACCCTAAATGGAAGCGACTATAGAGTGCCTGAGTAAAATTACCCTAAATATATCAAAGCACTTCTGTGTCATTTATTATATAATCTGTATCTCTGGATTAAAGGGTAAATCAGCATCAAATTGTTTACAACATTTATCTACTCTAACTTTATAATTAATTTTACTGATACTTAATTTTTGTTACTCTGGATTTGTTCTTTAATTGTTGATGTTAAAAATTGTCTTTTATGTATTTTACTTTATTTTCTTTGTCTTTATTTTCCCTTCATACAAACGTGAACTGTAACTTTCTAAGTTTTGTAATAAAAAAAAAAAATAAATAAATAAAAAAAAACTTCTGTCATTTTCTTTTTTCGAAGACTCGTTTTTTGTTCAAGCTTTATAGATAAAGGTTGCCAGAGAATATTAATATAAAATTAATTAGTAGTTGACCATAAATTAGCCTGAATTCGGTGGATAAAATAATGTCACA